TGAAAGCGCACGCTGGCCTTGAGCCTATTAGAGGTCCCTCCTAAAGTCCTTAGAGAATGGAAGGTACATGGACCCTTCGGGTCTCAACATGGCACGCAAAGAACCCAGCCTGAAGCGCAAGGGTCCAAGTAGGGCTTGGAGTTTGGAGGGTCTGTAGATTTAGGGTTTAGGGTTTAGGGTTTAGGGGTTTAGGGTTTAGGGTTCAGGGTTCAGGTTCAGGTTTAGGGGTTCGTGTGTCCTTTTTCGGTAGCTGCTGGCAACCACAGAGCCGACTGCAAAGCCCAAAGATGAAGACTTCCGGCAAATGAGAGGCGCAGTTCGGTGGAGGGGTTCACCTAGGGGCCTAAATAAGTACCGAAGTACCACTTCGATTTTTTTGGGGGTTCCTTACGATAAACAGATATATACACATATATATATATATATATAGATATGTATAGAGAGAGAGAGAGTTAGAGTATAACAGACCCCTCAAGCCCCACTCTAATTATTTAAGTACCCTATATTCAGAAAATGGAACCCTAGAGGCTAGGTCGTTGGGACACTTTAGGGTTTAGGGTTTTGGGCCTGCGAGAATCATACTTTTTTTCAAGACTTTAAAGGGCCAACCTAGCCCAACAGAAAGGCCGACAAGAAGGGTTTAGGGTTTACGGGCCGACAGGAGTGGAAATTGCCAGCTTCCACCTCCTAAGAACTTCAAGCACGCAGCGATCAGTTCCAAAATACCCCAACCCTAAAATCCTAAATCAACTCCAATTGTGCTTTTGGGTTTCGGGTTTAGGGTTTAGGGTTTAGGGTATCCTTTGTTTTTTTTGTGTAGGTTGTTACTACGTTTTTAAATTTTGCAGCCCCCATCCAATGCCTCGATGCGCTGAGGCCTGCAGAAGCAGATCTGGGAGGACCTGGGTTTAGGGTTTAGGGTTTAAAGTTCAGGGTTTAGGATTTTAGGGTTTAGGGTTTAGGGTTTTAGGGTTTAGGGTTTAGGGTTTAGGGTTTTAGGGGACCCCGAACTCCTATGAAACCTACCCAATAGGCCCATAGTAGTTCCTCTTCCTCTTTGTGGCTTATATTTAGGATCCTATTCGGGAATCCCAAAAAGGAACTACTATGGGGCCCATGGGTAGCTTGTTAAGGACTCATTCATTCTAAGGAGTTCATTTTTCTGAATCCTACTAGAGGGACAGACTAAAGCCTAAACCCTATTCCCTATTCTTGCTTTGGATTGGGGTTGCTGACCTGGCCAGGGCGCCCGCCGCGGGCGCCCGCCAATGAAAATTTCGGACTGACTTGACTTGAGGTTGGGGTGTAATGTAGAAGCCTACCTTAAGAACCCCAAACCCACTTTTTTTGTAGGTTCTTATTATAAACCCTAATATGGGATTTACAGGGACCCTACAAAAAAGTAGGTTTTGGGTTCTTAAGGTACCGAATTACCAATATTATTCCTTAGCGCTCCTTATTGCAGTTAGAGTGTTAAGGGATCCAAAGCCCTATTCTAATTATTAAGACCCCTAGATTAGGCTATATAGGGCAAGGCTTTCAGGCTGTATAGGCTTGACACGTGCCAAACCTTATACATACAAAGCCTACCTATGGTCTCCATTGTTGTTCCTTTCCTTGGGCTACCTGTCAGGATCCTTAATACAAAACCGGCTAAAAAACCACGAACAAGGACTACAGTGAAGACTATAGCTGCAATCCTCAATCCTGAACCCTGAGAGTGATTGACTACACGGCAGCCCTAAACCCCACAAGGCAGCCCTCAACCCTAAACCCTGGTTCGGAGGACACGGCCATGCCTGTGCGGCAGCTGAAGGGCATCGGGGACAAGCTCGCGGTAGTGCTGCACCAGCAAGGCATCAGGGATCTCTACACGGCCCCGTGTGAGTCTCCCTTTAAACCCTAAACCCTAACCTTCCTAAAACCCCAAACTTCCCGATGAACCCCAAACTTCCTAAACCCTAAACCCTTTGAGTACATAGGAGTTCGTTCAGGGAACGATAAGTTCCGGGTTTTGTAGAAGTTCTAGAGAGAGATTACCGGGTTTGGATGTTGCTGGGGTTCTGGGGTTTAAGGGTCTCGGATTTAGGGGATCTGGCCGTTTGACCCTGCGGACATCCGAACGTGTGAGAGAGTAAACCCTAAACCCTGAACCCAAAGTCCTAAACCCTAAACCCTAAACCCCTTACTAAACCATGAACTCTAAATCCTAAACCTTAGTAGTTTCGGTTGCTGCTGGTAGAAGGCAACCGACTTCCTGATACAGTCCTCAGCATCTAAGACCTACCACCCTAGATCCTGAGATTCGAAGCTGCACACTCTAGCCCTATGTTCCAAAAAAATCCAAAACGTGCAGCCGACAACATAGGACATCCTAGCTAGTATCTTACAGGGAGACTAGTACTTGCCAACCCCACATCACGTCATACCTGCAGCGCTGCCCTAAATCCTAAACCCTAACACACCCTAAGCCCTAAACCCTAAACCCTAAATCTTAAGCCCTAAACATCCCTAAACCCTCAAATCCTAAACCCTAAACCCGGCCAGAGGCAGCCCAAAGCCCTAAACCGTTACGATTCTCTGAAGGCTTCGCGTCGTTCCAAGGCTTTGCCTCAGCCGATCCACGGCTGATTGCCCAAGCTTGCGCCTGGGCTTCGGGTTTGGGGAACTTTTTAGAGTTTTGGGGTTCAAGGCTTTGGGTATAGGCATGCTGTTGAGATGATCTGCAGAAATTCGAGTTCAGAGGGTTATCAATGACGTCAGGGCTTTGCAAACGGCTGCTATATAGGATGTGAAGACTCGATTCTGGGCTTGATGAAATACAGATATCAGGATTACGATTACCATTACTTGCTACGACGATTTCAAGCACTAGTACTATTACTTTTGCGTTTTGAGGTCAGGTCTATATTATATGTCTAGATGAGTTCAGATCCACGGCACCAACGGCTTCGCGACCCATGTAATTGCATGACGTGCTGGCTAGAGAGAGTTTGGTGTTTTGGGAGATGAGGGCAGGCTTCGGGTTTGCCTGTAGTCTCCGTTTTTCCGAACCCCAAACTTGGCACCCCAAGCCAGCTCCGATCGCAACTCAGGTCAGTCGCGAGTGTCTGGATCCGATCTGCAGGCGAAGCTGCTTGCCATTCCTCGCATTGGAATGCGGCTAACTCCAGATGGCAGCAGCGGAACCATATACATTCAGCTTGCAAGTAGCGCGACTGGGTCGATGGGACAGAGTGGCTGTTTGGGGGCATGGAGTCATTTGGTTGTCTATTCAGCTCCCGAGGGGCAGTTGCTGCAACACCTGCGCTTCCCATCATGTCAGCCTCCACAAAATTTGTCTGCACATCTGCAGTCTGCAAGTGGCTTGGTGGTTCTCATGATCTATGAGGACGTGGTCGGATTGGATGAGCGACAATCTTTAGGGGACTCTCGATTGGCTCCGCATCCACCTTCCGATTTCACCCTGCCCGCGGCTTCGAAGGGAAATGCGACCAGGGCGACTTCTGGCCAAGGGAACTCAGCCAGCACCACTCCCCGTCGAGCTCCCAAGTGCAAGGTGGGCGATAGCCCCGAGTTCCGATTCGGCGTTGAGGGTTGAAGGTTTAGGGTTTGGGGTGAAGGATGAGGTAGAAGGGACCGTAATGAGCTTTGGAAGGGTCGACGATGCATAGTGCTTAGTTGCAGCTCTTTTTCAGTGCTTGAAAGAGCGAAGTCTGAAGCTCGAACCACCGGTTTAGGGCTTAAGGTTTAAAGTTTAGGGTTTAGGGTTTAAGGTTTCGGGTGTAGGGATCTTCAGAAACTCATCCGAAGGGCCCCGTGCGCAACCCTCAAGTGCTCGCGTGAATTGTTGCGCTTACCCCCTAAAGGTTCCGATACAGAGTTTGAGCGCTGAAACCCTAAGGAGCCCATGAACTCCTTGAAACTCTACAAATACATAAATAGATAAATACATAAGTAAATAATAATAACTAAATACATACATAAATAAATAAATAAATATATATATATATATATACACACACATATTTATGT